TCAAAATGACCCCAAAGTTAAGGTTTAATTACTAATTGAATAAGAACAAAACACGGTCATATTTAAATCAAATGGATTTATTAAGTTGTTATAAATAATTACACTGCAGCCAATAGGATAAACATCTGCACTCACGAAATTACACGTGAAATAATCTCAGAAATTAATGTGAGACGTACGACGAATTCGGCATAAATGGCTTATGCCGGTAGAAAGCATGATCTCGAGAACTCGAGTGCCATGACTCGAGTGCATTTGCTATCAGTACGACATCGCCTGTGGTGCCTCTCCTGGGCTCCCGACCATATCGATTAATCCCACATTCCTGGAAAGTCGCGATTTGGTCAGATGAGTCGCGATTCCAGTTGGTAATGGCTGGTGGTAGGGTTTGAGTGTCGCGTAGGGCCCTACGAAAGCCATGAACTCGAGTTGTCTAGAAGATACTGTGCAGGTTGGTGGTGACTCCATAATGCTGTGGGCTGTTTTTACATGAAATAGACTGGGACCAACTAAACTAAACTTTAATTGGAATTGAAATGTTCGCGATTGGTTTGAAGAACGCTCTGGACAATTGGAGCGAATGGGGTGGCTACCCATATAGCCCGATATGAATGCCATCAAACATTTATGGGGCACAACTGATCATTTCGTGCACAAAATCCAGCACCGGCAACCTTTCGCAATTCTGGGCGGTTAGAAGCAGAATAACTCAATATTTCTGCAGACTTCCAAACACGAGTCCATGCCATGTCGAGTTTCTGCACGTCGTCTCCAAAAGGTTCGACCCGTTATTAGGAGATATCCCGTGACTTTTGTCACCTCACTGAATGTCGTAGAGAAGGAGGTTAGAGAGTGCTGAGTCTATGCACGAGCTTTTGGAAAACGCGTAGAGTATTTTTTCGAAAAAAAAATCAAGAAAATTGATAGAATAATATTAAGTTTTGCAAAGTATGTAAAATATGTAATAAAGTTCAAAACATAAAAATACTAGATTCTCAAAATTATTTCGAGAACTGAACAAGAAAACAAATGATTGATTAGTGATTCCGGGCATGTCAACGTCTAAGGTCCTTAACCCTGTAAGTGCAGTAAGTATTTTCGTCAGGATGTTGTGATACTACCCGGCTAGATGGTCGGATCCGACGTCAGTCAACACGTCGACTAGCGGGGTTTTCCCAACCAGGTTTATCCCACTACCGCACTGGTAGGTGCACTTTCTCTCGCCATTGCAATGGGGTACCACCCCGGCCAAGACAAGCTCTAAGCTTCAGACGTTTAATTTTTAGCTCCTCCACGTTTCAATTTTTTAAACGAGGCCATAAACTCGCCAGTACTTTCATTTTCTGACTCCCATCAATGTGGAGCCCTTTAGGCGAAGTTTGTAAGACAGAACCAATTCCTAAATACTGATTAGAAGTTAAGAGACGTTTTAGCAAATTGTTTCAAATAAAATACATTTATTACAACTCAAAAATAAATTATTACATGATAAGTAATGTGTTTTATTTATCACAGTACCTGTAACATCAGATTATTTCCGCTTTTTTACCGCATAATAGCACTCGAAAGTTTTGATAAGATTTGCGAGTACGATGAACGTAGTATTTTACACAACATGCATGTCGATAAGGGAAGAACAATATCGAGATAACACAAGGAAGATGAGTTTTCCTTCAGAACGACTTCTCTCCCGCTATCTTTGTGAACGATAGCAGAAATCACAAGGGTGGCCGCTAAGAGCTCAAAATCGAAATTTAGACCGGGAGAGGTGGCTAAAAGCACCAACTGATGTCACTGCAGTGCATTTGGCTGGGAAATCTAAGGTTCGAGTTCCTAGCTAGTTCGAATTTAGTTGCTGTCTGGAGGAGAATTCTACCCGCTGGCTGCTCTGATCGGCAGTTTTTCCGTGGTTTCTCCGAGCAATACAAGGCAAATTTCTAAGCAGTACCCTAACAAACGAGCCACGCATTGCGCACGATCTTTCCTTCCCCTGCTTTGTCTTATCCTCACCTTACTTACACACGCTAACACTACACTGCCACATATGCCCGGAGACCGGCCGGGAGCTTAGAGCTTGTCTCGGCTGAGGCGGTGCTCCGTTGGGGGGGAGATACCTGGTTAGGGAAAACTCAGCTAGCCGACTGTAGGTTGGCGCCGAATCTCTGAATCTAGCGAGGAAAGATAACCGCCACCTTCCGATTAAAAAGCATACACAACACGTACGGAACTAATGATGTCAGTAGTTGAATCAATGAACATTTAGCTTAATGTCACGGGTGAGCTCACAGGGAGAGGTGGCAGAGGGTCGTGATACCCCTGAAACTTGAAACTACTATGAAAGCCCATAGTAGAGCGAGACAAAACGCGTTCTATTTAACGATCGTTCTCGCTGGCTTGCTTTCGCGTTCTCGGAAGTCGCCACTCTCTTTATCTACTTGTGATATCTACTCATTGCAGAGTTCGTTCATGGTGGAAAGATATGGGTGAGTACTTCGGCGCACCGATTTTAGCTCGTTCTACGCATCACCAGTTTGCGTCATGAAACACGTGACCACAGTACGTGTACGAGAGAAGGGGGAAGAATACTGGAACGGGAGATGGGGGCGGCCAGCAGACTGCAAAGGCCTCTTTCGTATATTAAAAGTAAATTGAAGCGGCCTGCACCGGGCCGTGGAGGTTGGCCCCGGGGGGGGGAGAGATGCGAGCTGCGTTAAGAGGGGAGGCGGAGGATGACAGAAGTTGTACAAGAATTTTCCTTGGCAACATACGATTTATTGGATATTTTACTTTCTAAGTCTATGTGAATCGGGTTGATATGACAATGAAATATTAATTTACGAAATGAAATTGAATGATGATATATAAATGGATGTTCTTCGTTACTTTCTATGTACTTATTAACGTGGTGATGTTGTGAAATGTGGTCGCACTACACGTCCTATGGGTAGCACGGTGTTTGGCCGAATAACTGCTGCTGGGTGGCTGCAGCAATGCGTGGCCAGCGGTGCTCCTCTCACCGGGCGGAAGCTGGACATGCACGGCGTCCAGCACAAGTCGGAGAATCTGTCCACCAGCTTTGGGCCACGGACCTAGCCGTAGAGGTTGGGGCCGTACAGCAGGAGGAATCAGGAGTTATGGTGTGTCGCGGCACAGCACCCTGTCTGCGCAGGCAGGTGACTGGCCGGTGTGAGTCGGGTCTGTCCGTACCGCTGGCCTGTAGCAACCCAGCGATGGCCAGGTTTACAAGTAACAACGG